GATTGAGTGACTCCCTCAGAGTCACCCCCTGATAACTAGGATTGGAACCCAGGCAGGTGACTCTGGGACCCAAACTCTGAACCCCTTTGCCTTAAGGCAGACTGAGCTGGAGGCTGTTTCCATTCCCCAAAAGAGCCCCTGTGCTCAGCATCTTGTGAGCTTTGAGTGTGGAAGCTAGGATCGAGGGCTTGTCTGCTGTCGGAGAGTGGCCACCTACACACATCCTGAATGTGGGTGCCTTTAAAATACAGATACCCAGGAAATCCCCAGAAACGTTGGAGAATAAACATCAGCTCAGGTTGCCAGCGTTTAGACGCTGCATTTAGTCCCAGAGGACGGATGCCACACCCAGGGGCCAGAGGCAGTCTTCCCTCTGGCTTTTCATTTGGTTTCCTTTCAGTATTTGAAATGTAGAAATCAAGCCTGGATGTCAGAGTATTGATTTAGTTTTCTTTTTTCCCAGGAGGCATGATTAACAAAGAGCCAAAATGGCAAACTGCGGGGAGGCCATGGCATGGGCTGTGCCTCGAGAGCCGTGGTTGTGGGGCTGGCCGGGGAGGGCATCTCTGGTCCACAGAGGCCGGTCTGTGCTGCAAAGCCTGGGTGCAGGCACAGGGATGACGGGAGGGTCCTGGAGTCAAGGGAGCAGCTAAATATCAATGCAGCAACTTCTTTTTGCCAGAGATCCAGGTTGAAAAAAGAAAATGTTACACCTTTTAAAAAATATCGTACTTAAAACCTGCATTTGTTCTATACCCCGATCATCTTTTTAGAGCCAAAACATCAAGAAATATGGCCTGAAAAAGGCTCATGAAAATTCCATTCCGAGAATTAAGTAGTAATGACACTCTGAAACCTCACTGTTTAAAGAGATCCACTGATAGTATAACAGGACCCCTGATATAGTTATAAAATTCATTGTTAAAATCGGGTAATGTTTGCAAGCGTCTGGCCCACAGATATGAGGAGCCAGAGTCTTCAGAGGACGCTGGAGGACGGTGCACAGCTCCCTGCCAGCGGCTGCAGCTCTCATGCTGCTGGGACAGTGACTGGATACAGACCTGTGTGGTGCAGCGTCTGCTGCTGCTGCGGTGAGGGTGGCCACATAGATGACGCCCTGCCAGGCGCATCCAGGCCCAGCCTCGCGGTTGTCCACTTTGAGGCCAGGTCTCTTGGGAATGCAGGCCTGTTGTGTCTACAATCTCACACTCCTTAAACTCCCCTGACCAGGACACACGACAAGGTTTTCCTATCAAACTTTACATGCATTTCCTAGGACATCTCCGGATTTCATCAGCTCCGAGTAGACCTAGCCTTTGTCCTTACAGCCGGGAAGGCATTCGATACCCAGATCTGGTCACATTCTGCCTGTTGGTGCATGTGTTAGAAGCACGTGTGTGTTTCTGCCCTCCTCATGGCTGCTGAGGAGCAGTGGCTACTGCGTGTCATTCTTGTGATGGCTTTGTGATTTTGTGTGCAAAGCCTTGTTTACAGGCCGCCCCCGAGAGCAAAGGATAATGGTGCATTATCTATTAACGTGACCCTGGAGAACTCTAATTGAACTGCACAAATGGAAGAATCCTCCCCCCCAGCCCCTGCTGCTCACAGACAGTACGCTCAGCCCAGCAGGGGCTGCTCTTACAAATGCCGTCGCAGCACAGGCGGTCAAGGCTCGGCATCTTCCGGGGCCCCCGGTTTCCTTTGAGAGGACGCAGTATTTTCAGAAATGGAGTTCGCATGTGTACTCACCAATCAGTAGCAGTCAGCTGTGACGTCTCCGAACTGTAGAGGCTTTGGACTTTTTGGCCCACTTTCTACATAGAACGATGGAGATTTAGGATCTTACCGCCCTAGTTTAATCTTGTTTTGCAGATGAGGGGCCGAGGTCCCGGAGTCCTGAGCCACGTGAGCTGGGCTTCCACTCTGGGCTCCATGCCGTGCTTCCTCGCCAGATAGACGTGGCCGGTCAAGCTGTTTCAAGGTCTTATTCCAGTCAGGTTTTTGTTTGATTGATTTCTTTGTTCATGAAGTAGAATGTGGTTTATGTATTACATATATTTCTGTGTGTGTTTTTATTACAATATCTCATTTTCATGGGCTTTTGTAACTTAAGTTACCGCTAACCTGTGACCCTTATAGTCTCTTCTTCCACCACGTGTATCCTAATGTGGGAATTCTGCTTTGGTGGATGACTTTTGTGAAGTTAATTAATACACATTTCATTTAGAATAATGCTTTGAGCAACTCAAAGAAAGTGAATTTAATTTTATCACCTAGTTTTTATTTTATACTTAAAGAGCTCTATTTGACTTATTCAGATTTTTGCCATCAATGTTGTATATACACAAAGGGAAGCTAAGCAAAGTAACTTGGTTAGATTTTCCTAACATTTCTTCACATTCAGCATCCAACTCTTCTGACTCCCTTTAACTGGGACGTTCCCCAGCCATCACCGTCGGTCTTCCTCAGATGCCAGTTTGTAGATGTATTTCTCTTTCCTTGATGCCTCATGTGGCAACAAATAAAGACTTGAAGCTCTTCCTGGGCTCTCGAACCAGGCCTGCCGCATTCTCAGAGAGGTAGAACCTTAGGAGATGCGTGGACGTGCGTGGTGCGTCTGTGTGCGCTGTGCCGTGGGCTGGCTTACGCAGTTGTGCGGCTGGCATGTCTGACCTCAGTAGTGCAGACACAGGCTGGAGACCCGGGCGGGATTTCCGTGTGGCAGTCTGCAGGCCGGTGTCCGCTTCTCCAGGGGACCCTGTCCTGTTCTCTTAAGGCCATGCAGGGATTGAATGAGGCCCAGCCCACTGTGGAGGGGCACATGCTCCCCGCGGAGCCAGCTGACTGCAGGTGTTAATCAGCCACACCCACCCAACGCCCGCACAGCCCCCGGCGAGGGTCGGACTGGGTGGCTGGGCTGGGGCCTCAGCAGACTGACCCCTGACCCACCCGAGACCAGGCTCCATCCTGACCCACCTTCCTCATTTCCGTGAAATGCATCATTCCTTCCTGGCCACCTGCCCGGCGCACGCCCAGGCTGACCGCAGGACCGTTTGCTCTTTCCTAGGGTTTGTTACTTCCCGTGCCTTCATTCCCCCTGGGGCCTCTCCTCACACGGCTCCTCAGGCCTGGAACGCCCCCAGCCCCGCTCACGTGTGGGATACGTGTGCCAGGCACCTCCTGGTGGGATTCCAGGTTCTGCCCTGGGGCTAAGAGCACCTGGAGGTTCAAGGTGACTTTGAGACCCTCCCACGCAGGGTCTGGATGGATCGTGGGAGAGCCATGAACAGAGCAGCTGCGGTGGAAGCAGAGCCAGGGCGGGAGGACGGCTGCACCTCCACCCGCAGAGCACCGGGGTCCCGCAGGAAAAGCAGAGGCCTCCTGTGGCCGCTGTGCCTCTTCCAGAAACTTCCTTACGCACAGAACGAGCGTCGTGTCCCGAATGACTGGCAGTGGTGTTGTGGATAAATGTTAACCTGGAGGTTTTCATCTGAGAAGTTCTAGTTTAATTTTTAAAGTCTTGTTTTTACCAATTCTGCTTGTTCAAGACATACCTTATGCTTTTTTCCTCTAGTTTTTCTTTTAGAAAGAATTTAATGAATTGTGCTGGGATCACCCTCGTAACCCCCTGTCCTCCGAGTCTCTCCACTCCGGCCCCAGCAGTTGGCGTGTCAGTTATATTTATATTATACATCCTGCCATCTGGAGCTCTCATCGAGAATTTCTCGGACATGGTGTGACTTCAGTGGGTCCTTTGTTTCAGAACAAGTGTGTTCTCCTTACTCTCTGGCACGGCCTCGGTATTTAGGGGTTTCCTCTCTCTGGGAAGCTGTTCCTTCTCGAGAACATAGTGTGCTTTGTTCCTCCAGTGAGGGAGGTGGGTCATCCTGGGGGGAAAACTGCCGGCAGCTCACAGAACAATAGGACAGAGGATACTGTCCACGGCTGTCTAGGTCTGAGCTGTTCAAAGGTATTCTCTGCGTTTCCATGGGTTTCAGCTCTACGTTAGATTTTCTCCCTATTAGAGGGAACAGCTCATCCCCCGGCATCGACAGAGGGGAGTATCTGTTGGCAAGCGGGATGTCGAAACCCAAAAGCGAATTATTGGTAGCAGCCCACGTGCAGCACACGCCCACGGCAACCAAGCTGCACGGTGGCCTGGCGTGGTGTGTCCACAGCAGCAACGCGCAGGTGCTGGAAACCGAGTTTAGAATATTGCTGTCGTCTGTGGGGCAAGTCCAGCATCTGGGGGGCCTGCGGGAGCCATGGGAACTCATGCTGTTTAGGGTGAGTTGGTCATGATGACTGTGG